TATTTTGTTTTATCAAAATGTTTGGTCATGACTAATAAAGTCACTCTATTTTTGCAATTTCCAAGCTTGGACAAATGACTTTTAAAATTCATAATATTTGTTACAGTTGAAAAATATATATACGTAGTATTAAAAATATATATACATAACATAAATATTACGGTCCCGTACGCGTAACTATTCCTTCGGGGTTTGTAACCGTTAGATCATCATGTAACTGTCAAAGATAATTGATCTGACAGTTACAAATTCAGACGAAATGATTCTGCAACGAGACCGTAGCATCTGAACGTAACTAAGGGCTACTAATCAAAACAAAGTGACCATTTAAATAATATAATTAATTTGATTCGATTTGAGCCACAATCAGTAGTTTTCACAATGAAAGAAAAACAGTCACCTCAAAAGTAAAAGTGGATATTACAAATCAGATGGCCTAACTTTTGGATTCCCAGTGCTCATCCATTTGTAATGACATGACATTTGCTGTCTTCTGTTGAGGGTTAAGTCTCAATTATTTTGGCCTTTGCCAAAATTTGCTCCATATTTTCCAAACATATATATATTGTACAATACATAAAAATTTTGAATTTATTAATAATTTAAAATATTTATTTATTTTTTTCAAGATAATAGAAAGAAATTATATCGAATTCGAATCAATCATATTTTATCCTTCGCAACATAAAGTTGGTCGAATTCTCTCTTATACTTTTATAAACCAGTATTCAATAATATGTCGGGATACAAATAGAATATTATAAGTCTTATGTATGGATATTATATTTATAATTATAGGTTATTTGATCATATTTTATAAATTTGATCATTAGTAACAATGAACAATATAGTTATAGATTATTTTACTCATACATGAATCACTATAAAATGAGATAAAATAAAATGTTAATATGAATTTTAATTTTTAAATAAATAAGTCGAAGAAAATGTTTTTCTACAATTTTTTTTTTAAGTTTATAGCTTCCATAAACTATGAGTATGAATTTATCATTAGTTAATATTAGTATTAATTATTTTATAATAAATAAGTAACACATAATATTTTAATTAGTTAATATAAAATGTGAATATTAGTGTTCATATTTCAATGAAAAAAATAAGTGGAAATATGTCATTAGTTATTTGACTCTCTTTATATAGATATAGATAAGGATTACTCCTAATCAACGGAGACACGCAGAATTTGATGAAACGGGAAAAAGAAAAAATATGTCATCCACCTTCTCCAGTTAAGGATTAAGTAATTTGATACCAAATTAATGTTAGTCAAACTCAAACCTAAGCCTAAATAAGACCCAAACGGCTTATTCATCTTCGAATATCCAGATTCAAGTCAAAGAACATAAGAATCAGAATCAGAATAGATGAATAAAGATGATTGTAACACGACATGAATGATCGAAATAAACAAAATTTTGCAAACATTTCATATTTTCTTCATAAGATTTATTGTTACACATTCACTTATAAATACACAATAAAAAAAAAGAAGGTAAACAAGAATTCAATATTGTTGTTTAACGATTATGAATAGTTGATTTGTAGTTTAATTTTGTTATTCATTTCTAAATTACCCTGGATTTTCTTGGAAATATACAGGCCTTTACATGTTGACTTTGAGATTTGATAAGCCCAAATTGCAAACCTAATATTGGTCCTAAAGTTTAAGGCTGGACAAGTAAGCCTTGGGCAAGAAACTATTGGGCCCAAATCAGGCGGCCCGTCTCTAAAACCTCCGCCCGCCGGCAAATAGGTAAAACAGAAAACCTCAAGCGAGAACCGCCGTCCACGCTCCCCACGCAAGCCTGCAGACATGGCGGAACCACAGTACGAGGTCGATTTGGGTAACCTTATGGCGTTCGACCGTTATCATCAATTCCCTTCTCCTCCATCCTCAAGGCTCGTTACCTTCTTTGTTATCTGCTGTGTGGCCGTGAATGATTAGGTTTACAGGCATGAGCTGCCTTTTGATCTTTTGTGTACTGTCGCAAATTGTTTTGCCCTGCAGGGATGAGATTGTGAAGGCGGCCCTCGAGCACGGGACGAAGTTAGTGCAAGCGGTGGCCGGTGCCCTTTTCAGTTTGCCTTCGATGGAGGATCCCGACGGCCCCATCGTCAAATTGCCTGCTCCGACTACGAAACTGCCCAGAGAAAAGCCGGTAAGGTTTTTATCTAGCTGCGTGTATGTGTGTTTTGGAGGAATTGAGCTGGGAGTTTGATTAGTTGTTTATTGCATAGTTAAGTGAATAAACTTTTCTTTACTTGGATGCTAGAATGTTTATGGGTTTGGATTTTGGTTTATCTTTGGTTACTGTTCAGTTTGTTAAAGGAGATGATGGGTGTATGCTGTATAGTTTGTCTTCCAATAGATTGGCCTGGGTTGGCTTGCACAAAACTATGAGATTTGTTTTTGTGGCATTTGCTGTCTTGAGATAAAAGGTTGGATGTGAGTGAAAATGTGACCATTGTATTTGCTTTTTGAGGATTCTTGAATTTGTAAGTATGGTTTTTTGTAGATATTGCTCTCTAGTTACACAATCATTTGCCCGAATGGTTTTGTGCCGTGAAAACTTGGAGGATCCATGGATAATTATGCTTTGAGTGGTGATGTTCAATTTTTCTCCATCTTATGCCTGCACTCGCTTTAAGTTGTCGAGGCATTTAAGACAAAGTGTATTGTGCCCGATGGAAAAATAACTGATCTTATTGGCTTTATCATCTTTATATGCTGCATTTATCGAGTGTTTTATGTTACAGTTTGTGTATTCCGTTGCACTATCTGAAATTTTCTTGCTCAATTTGAATTCAGCTTCCGAAGCCTAGACCTCCAACAAAATGGGAAGTGTTTGCCCAGAAGAAAGGTTCGCCCTCTTTACCCATTATTATTAGAAACCGCGGATTAAGTTGTTCCTCGACTTGCATTATTACGTTATCTAATTTGTTCTTTGTGAAATATAATGCAGGAATTCAGAAGAGAAAGAAGGAAAAATTGGTGTTTGACGAGCAAACTGATACCTGGAAGCGCCGTCATGGTTATGACCGTGTTAATGATGACAATGACATCCCAATCATCGAGGCCAAGGCAACTGATGGTATGTAATATTTCAGTGCAATTTT